CTGCTGGCCAGGGGGTGTCAGGGCAGCTCCCCGTCCCCCGAGGGCTCTTCTTTGCTCTGGTCCATGGAGTCACTGTCGTTGCCCTCGGTGTCGGAGGCGGTGTCGGAGGTGGAGGGCTCGGGGCACGCACGCGCCGGCGTCACGATGACAGCGCGTCTCTGCTCCTCTTCCTGCAGCTGCTTCTCCTGTGTCCCCTCGATGTGTTGGATCGCCTGCCGAGGGCAACCGGCCACCGTCAGCACATCAGGTCCCCCTGCTCTGACATACCCGGAGGGGTTAGGGACCTCCCCCCAGAACAGCACGCCAGTCCCACCCTTACCTGAACGATGGTGTCCAGGTTCTGCCGGGACGTGGAGACCGTATTGATGACCGAGGATGGGCCCATGGTGACCACGGTGACGTGATGGGAGGGAGGTGGCGCTGGAACGATCACGGTGGGGTGGTGGGTGGGCGCTGGGGGAGCATGTGACGGCAAGAGCTGGGGAGAGAAGCAGAACCCCCCCAGTCAGCAGCACCCTGGGCACAGTGGCGATGGGGAGAGCATCACACTTGTTTGCAGAGCCCAAACTCCTTTGAGGGCCCATAAAAGCTGAAGCTGCAGCTCAGCTGCTCCGGTTCACCTGTCCCGGATGGACACAAGAGGATGCCAGCAGAAAGCTGCTGTCACCTTAGATTTGGCAGAGCAGAACATGAAGGATTCCCCCTAGCACGAACAGGGAGAGACTTGGGCTTTTAATCCAGGAGAGGCAAGTGCCAGCCCTCCCATCACCCCAACCTGCACAGCTGGGAACCCACCACACCCCTCGCAGATCCTCGTTAAAACAGCGGATGGGAAGATCCGCCCTAGCAGGAGGCTAAGGAAAGTTCACCTAAAAATAGGCTGAACTTCCCCGGGAGGCGGCCGGCAGCTCCACAGAAGCAGAAGGAGGGAGGAAGCTGGTTTGTCTCCCTCCCTTTGAAGCTCCCCAGGCCGGCGTGCCCCCGGGCTGAGCTGGAGGGCGGCAGCGAGCAAGGACCGTGCTGGCACCATGCTGCCTCCTCGCTGCTCCGGGCTGGCCTAAGGCTCCCCCCACCGTTGGCAAATCGATTGTACCGAGGGAAAAGGCTGAAGGCTCCTGTCCCTGCAGTCCTGCCACCGCTGCTCAGCAGCAGCACCTGCCAGCTTGCCCACTACCCTTTCCCAGCCTGGAGGGTGGCAGGGAGTGGTTTGGGGGTCCCCATAACTCAGCGGGTGAATACACACAGGGAGAGGTGAGGAGGGGTTGGCCTCCCCGTGCTGCGAACCACCCGCTCTGGCACGGGGAGCGTCACCTGCACCAACCGCTGGCGGTGGTGCCATTGTGACTGCTGGCATCGCCCGCGGACGGGACGGGTGCCCGTTCATTGCCCGAGGGCAAGGAAATGTGCCCTGTAGGAGCTGCTCCCCACCCAGTGCTGGCAGGAGGGAACTGGGGGTGGCCACGTCCAGCACCTCCCAGCGCAGCCTTGGAAGACACGGGCTAGCTAGCAACAAGCTGAATCCCTGCCTGCCAAAAGTGACCTTCCCTGTACAAATCCCTCTGCACTGGGACACAGGGCCGCTTGGAAGCCACCACAGCGTGGTCTAAGCCATGATCTCTGCCTAAAACATGGATATGATCATGACCACAGCCCCCCTGAGCACTGGAGGGGCCCATGCACTGACCCTTTCCCCATTTCCCGAGGGCGAGAGCTTTGATGGGACTCTGTCTGACCCAATGAGCCCACGGGAGGTGCCAAGCACATCGCCTGGCTGTGATGCTCGAGGGTGGGAGGCTACCGGGGTGTCCCCATGGGCAGGCTACGGCCAGGGCGGGCTGGGACAGTGTCTGTGCACTCACCTGGGTTCGGATCTGCTGCTCGCGCTCTAGCTTCTCCTGGTGCAGCAACCTCACCTGCTCCTGCTGCTGCTGGAGCTGCACTTGCTGAGCAATCACTTTCAGCTTCTCGGGGTACATGTGAGCCTCCAGGGAGCGAACCTGCCAGCAGAGAGAGCCCCGACATCAGTGGGGAGCCCAGCCTGCTCCGGGCACAGCACCCCCCGATCCGCAGCCATGGGCCATCCCCCTCTGTGGGCTGGACACAAACAGAGCCAGGGAGCCCAAGGGTCAAGTGTGGGGTGGAGGTGGCCAGAGCAGACAACCTGTTACACTGCAGCAGCACCAGTGTCCCCGGGGGGGTCCGACACGGCCACGGCACAGCCTGTGCGCCACCAGCGCCATGTGCACAGGCACCAGCGCCGCAGCTGGATCTGGCCCCACGCGGCCTCACCTGCTCCTCCAGCATCATGCGGACCGAGCGTTCCTTGTCCAGCTGCTGCCGGAGCTCGATCATCTCCCGCCGCAGATCCTCGGCCTTCTCATCCTCCCAGATGTCCGGCGAGCCGATCCCCTCGTCTTTGTCCTCCGCCCGTCGCCGCTTCGGGGAGGAGCCGCTGAACTCCTGCCGCAGGGACGCGGTGTCAGGGGACAGGTACCAGTTCCAATGCTCCCCCCTCCATCCAGACCATGTCTGGGTGATGCCACTCCCTTGGCCTACCCCCAACACAGCTCCCTGCAGGGAAGTCTCTCTGGGGATGTGGGCAGGACATGGGGTCAATGCCTGGGGACTGATGGGCTCCTGTGTGTGCCCGCCCTCCTGGTCCTCATCCCCCCCAAGCCTTGTGCAAACATGCTTCTCACACCGTAACACCCAGGACAGTTCAACCAGGAGCTGCCACTGGGCCATACCCCAACAGCCCAAATGGAAAATGGGGCCCCCAGCTCTCCTCACCTGGGCAGATAAGGGATGCTGGGTTGAAGAGGACTTCCTTGCCCTGCCAGGAGGGTGTGAAACATCTCCACTCCCAAGCTTATTAGGGAAGAGAGTCTCATCCTGATCCCAAGGAACAGTGACAACATCCCCTCCCCAGCCAGCCAGGACTGTCCCATCCTCTCCCGTCCCGTCCCTGGAGTGCGCAGGCAGGCGCTACCTGGATGAACCGCTTGAGCTGGGTGTTCTGCTGCAGTAGCCGAGTCTTCTCCTGCTCCAGGGAGAAGATGTACTCGGCCGTTTGCTGGAGGATGGCCGCCTGCGGAGAGCGGGGAGGGGCATGCTGAGGCAGGAGAGACTCCAGTGTCCCCCAAACCCCCCATCCTGCTGAGCTCCCTCCCTGCCAGAAGGCAGCAGCACCGCTCCTTGCCCAGCCCTGGCATCTCCCTCTGTTCAGGGTCTGCTTCACCCCCCCAAGTGTCCCATGGGATTTCCACCATGGCAAACCTCCAGTTCACCTGTCTCAGGAACTGGACCGGCTACACAGCGCTGCCTCCTCACCCCACTTTGCTCTGCAGTGGGAGCACCTCATCACCCAGGCACAGGCCACTCTGCTCCTGGGGCGCTAGGTGCTGCCA